TCAAACAGTATATTCCAGAGTAGATACAGATAGGTTCCTCTAAGCTAGGTTGCTTTGTTGTCTTGTTGTTGAGAAAAACAAGGTGCTATAAAATCCATGCAGATTATATGGCTTTCTTGTCTACACTGGAAGTTCAGATTTGCATGATACATTCAGAGAGTTAAAAAAATCGGTCTGTAACCATTTCACAAACACCATAAGCAAGCAGTATATAACTGTGCTATAGAAGAAATGATTTCTTGAAAACTTAAATATGTCAGAACACTCTTGGTTGAATTTGGAGACCTCTAATGAAAGTTGAAGGTTTCTCTGCCCAACTCTTAAATCTGTTAGTGGAAGAAAAAACAGGTATTCATTCAACTTCAAAGATTCTTTATCAAAGTTTACCTTTCAAACATCCACAACAGCCTAAAGGGAAGGAATGAGTGAAACACTGGGCACAAAGCTACAGCCACAATATCAGTCGAGACAGCAAGAAAAATCCCTACTAGGAGACAAGCAGCAGAGATTCAGTCATGTTCTGTTATTTAGACTCATCAACAAGCTGTCTGCCTCAGACATTGATGGGGAAACAGAGAATACACTTCTCACAAGATGTTTCTCAGAGAGCTGAAAAAATAAAACTTGTTTCTTTGAGTTTGTGTCCTCCTTCCCTGCATTCCTCTTTCCCAAGCGCATACAGCTCCCTCTTGTAATATCTAGGCAAAAAGCAGGGGCTACTGCAGCTGGTTCTGCTACATGTACCGTACTCAGCCACTAGGTATGGACAGACCAGCCTGCAACTTGTCCAATGACCTCAAACTAGTTCTTCTGTCAAGAGGAGTTTGGGATTCCATTTGAAAAGCAGCCAGGCATTTTCGTTAACAGCAGAACTTATATCTTTGAGAACTTCACTGCTCTCCTGAGTCCAATTTAAACAGAGCAATGGGTTCAAACCCAACCGGGACAGAAATGCCAACACAGTCCAGTCATTTAAGCTTGCTTCCTTAGGAAAAAAAGCCTAAAATGAAGAATCTGCCTGAGAATTAGCTCAAGGTCTTCTCAGCCTTTGAGACAGGCTCCACCAGTGAGGCCAGAATCCAGGTCCCAAGGTTCCCGATCCTATGGAAGAGATGAGCACTAGCACCAAGAAGTCTGATGCTGTGGTGGAAAGGCAAAAAAGCAATCCACTGAGCCACACATGGTATCAGTTTTCTCAAGTGATGACCAGCAAGAGAGATCAGAAACCACTGGGGTACAGAATACTGAGCCAATAATTTCTCCTTCCAAAACATATAGGTGCTCTTTCTCAGGCAGTCCTGGCCAGAGGCCTCAAACTACCTTTCCTGTCTACCAGACCCAGTTTTCGTTTGGGGAAATGGAGATGGAGACCAGTTTCTGATCTTGAAATCCCCATTGCTTTATCCAGCATGCCATTCGTTTTCACAGTCCACAGGCATATTTACAGACGTAGGTGAAGGGTAGGGAGACAAGAACTGCAACATAGTGTCTTTTTATTCCCTACCAGCTATAGCACTAAGCATCCTTTTCCTTCAAAAGTTTGTCATCTCATTCCCAAGAGGCCTTAACACCTAAGTGATCTTTGTCCCAACTTACAGTTCTGCTGCCCCTACATCTGATTCTTGTTCCTTCAGTAATTCAGGCAGACCGCTCTAACTGTGGCGGTCAGCAGGAGCATCACTGATAATGTAGCAGAGAGATAGCAAATGAAACAGGAGGCAGTAATATCCTACTGAGCAAGGAAAAGGTTAACAATATCTAAGGGACCAGGTGCAAACTGCTTGAGAACAAAGTGTTGGGAATGAGAAGAATGACATCACTCCTGGCCCACTGCTGTATGTCTGTTCATTCACCACACTAAACCATCTTTACCACCACAAGTTTTACACAGAAACCCTTATTTGTGCAGAATTGGCCAAAATAATAATCAGTTTTTAATCTTTTACATCATTTTAACAGGAAAATAGACAAGCTCTGTAAGCCTGTGGAGGCAGTGTGTAAATATTAATCTAAGGCTTGCAGTGATCTCATACCATCAAAAGATTTCAAACATTGTGACTAACAGTTGGGTCCACAGGAGAAAAAAAAAAGAAAAAAAATGGATAAAAAAAAAAATTTTAACCAAAACTGCTGTCAGGGTAGGGATGCATTCAGATTGGCCACACAGTTTTTCACAAGTCTTTAATAATGGTGCTTATGCAAGCATTTCAACTTTTTTTAGTCCCACCAGCTCAAGCAACACAGCACGCATCTCTGTAGCAAATGCAAGCTTATTATGCAGTATCCTTACAGTGTTGTGAATTGCTGCATAATCCAAATCTGATTTACCCAAAAATGAACCTAAAACTATATAGTGAAATTAAAATTTTTAAGAGAATGGGTGACTAGCAAATCACTTTAAGGAAGGTATTAGATTTTTTTATAAGAATCAACTTATATTTAAGAAATAATGCAGCAAGAAGTAATGGAAATCATGATGGCAAGCAATCACTTCAGACACGAACTAATCCAAACTCATGTTAAAATCTCCTCAGGTGACTCTAACAAGAATATTTAGGAAGAAGCCCACCATCCCTGCAGCCAGTATGGCAAAGTATGAGTGATGTTCACTAGGTTCTGCACCAACTTAGTACACTTTGATGAACGCTATTTAAACTAAAACCTCGCCTTTCATAATACATTTGAGCAGAAGGACAAAACAGACAGCAAAGGACTGTTACTCCAACTAAAAAAGATGAATCCCTTCTTCATTATCAAGCACCCTGAATGAACCCCCAACAAGTGCCTCTGACCCCCGCATATGGCCACAAATTTCCCTAACACCGTAAGGGAGAGCATAAGGGAGCTGCAGCACACGCTGCAGCTGCCGGGCGCAGCTCTCCCACCAGCAATGGCAGGGCTCTTCCAGCAACACTGCCACGGCCACCTGCGACTCCCAGCCTGCAGCTCCCCTGCAGCCCCCCAAACCTCCGGAGCCTCCCCACGCCCTGCCGGAACACCAGAACTCCTCACTCTCACAAGCCAAGAACATCCCCCTCCCCTTTCCACCTGACACTGCCTCACACCTCTCCTGCACAGACCACCACAACAGGCTCCAGTGCACTCTGAGCACAGGTTTCCTCAGAGCCTGAACTCCCTGCCTGGACGCTGTCACCAACGTCCCTAACACAAAAGCAGTCGGGTTGTGACTCAGTTCAGCTCCGACCCCACGAGAGAGGCATGGCCACAAACCTCCGAATATCAGTCTCAGAAATCTCCAACACCCTCGTACCATACACCAAACCTAGGCAGATCCAAATCCCCCAAACCCTGTGTGCCAACACCCAAACCCCACAACCACACTGGATACCCCCATTCCAGACATCAAACCCAAGGCCAGCATGGGACTCCCATGCTACCATAGTACTGTGTAACACAGGAAATCAGCGATCTATAGACAGTTAGAGACTAGCTAGCTTTTATATGCATCATAAAAGCCTTTATTAATCATTACCCCTAAGTAAAGCAAAGAAGGGGACCCACTTTCTATTCCACCTTGATGGTTATGGTTATCACTGAAGTAAGAAAAACACCTGAAATGTATTCAAAGAGCTGTCTCACTGCTTGAAACAGTCTGTTTATTTCAGTAAGCTGACCATAGCTAAGGCAAGAGGAAACCCAATCCAGTTTTCTCTCATATCGGAAGACAGGAAAAAGGGGTAGCAAAGTCTCTGCTTGTTTAAAAATCCTATTTTCTCTCAAGAGTTAGTACTCCGAGAACATATTCTCTCTCCATACTCTTCTAAAGTTTTACTCTTGTCCTATCAAAACAGCTAGTACTGCTGCCACCACAGCGTATTTTTCAAGTGAGGTACCATACTTTCTGGAAATGCAATCATTTTCATCTCTCTGTAATCCTCAAAGTTATCTCCCTGTGTTTAACAGCATTAGCCCAGACTATGGCAATGAAAATACAGCTATTTAAAAGATTAAAGTAATAAACATCACATGAAAGGCTATTTAAGTTGAAATACTCATCATCTCAATCCTCATTGCCCAAAACATTTTTGCTTCTCTTCATGGGAAATGAGAAATTATTTTCTCCTAATCATCTTCCTCCCAGCCTAATTTTACCTGACAACAGTATTTCATCTTCCAGAAAACAGAAATCTATGCAGAGCAAGTGAAACAGCAATTATGAAGAAAAACATCAGCTAGAAATGGGAATATAAAATGACTTTCCACACCAAAAAATGTAATTTTACCTTGCATTTATAAACAGGGAGGTAAACGTAAAGGTAAATTCGCTGCCTTCAGGACAGAATAAATGACAATTTACCTTGCCAGAGCATGACAGATTTTTGCATCAAGATAAAGCTTTGCATTCATTTTATGATCCCAGAGATTTGGCCACACATTGTGCTTGCGCAACTTCCATTTTGATATCCTGTGGATATTTCTAGAAGAGAAGCAAAATTAATCTCTAACACTG